CAAATACGTATTATTTTACTCACTCTACTTCTACTACTACCCACCTATTACTAGATAGCGATCTTACTACTACTACTACTACCTACTATACTACTACTAAACTCCTACGACTACCGACTACTCGTACTACCACCACTACTCCTACTACTACCTACTACTACTACTACACTACTACTACTAAACGCTACGATTCCTAACTACTACTTCTACTCCAACTACTCTACTCTAGCTACTACTACTACTCTACTAGTACTAGTACTACTACTACTACTACTACTGCTACTACTACTTCTTCTTCTACTACTACTACTACTACTACTACTACTGCAAATAATAATACTACGACTACTACTCCATCCCCGTGTACTACTACCACTGCTACAACTACTGCTACTCTTACGACTATCACTAATTGTACTAATACTACTACTACTACTACTACTACTAATAATAATAATACGACTACTATAACAACCACGACGACTACTACTACTACTACTACTACTACTACTACTACTACTATTACTACTACTACTACTACTACTACTACTACTACTACTACTAGACTTACTACTACTACTACTAACTCTAACTAACTACTAATTACTCTAACTACTAACTACTACTACTACTACTACTCACTACTAACTACTCACTACTTACTACTACTACTCTACTAGCTAACTGCTACTACTACTAACTACTACTACTAACTACTACTACTACTACTACTGCTACTGCTACGACTACTACTACTACTACTACTACTACTACCGACTACTACTACTACTACTACTACTACTACGACTACTACTACGACTACTACTACCACTACTACGACTACTACTACTACTACTACTACTACTACTATTACTACTACTACTACTACTACTACCACTACTACTACTACTACTACTACCACTACTACTAGCACTACTACTACTACTACTACTACTACTACTACTACTACTACTACTACCACCAGTCCACATGGCCATCTGCCAGTGTCCATGTCTGTGAATTTGAAACGGTGCCGCATCAGGCTGAAGAAAACGAAAGAAGGCCAAAGAATTGCGCAGTGAGATGCTTCCCGGATGTGCTCGGCATCCTGGTGAGCGGGTGGCGGCATGCAGGCAGCGCGCGCGCGTGGGCTCAGATGAGGATCTATCGCCAGCATGGCGGGCACTGCTCAATACGATCGAAAACGGAATAGCTGACAAGCGTGAGTTGAAAGACGAACGCGCGTTACGGTCATCACCCCATGTGACCGTGAAGTAGAATTCGAACCTTACGCAGGAATATCTGAATATCGTCGTGAGCATGAGCCTGGTTGCACGCCTGTTTGGCGCGTCGCCGAAAGATGGGGCGCGACGCATTCGCCTCGCGGACGAGCAGATGGACATGTTGCTCACGCTCATATCCAACGTCGGAGTTTCAGCTTCAGCTGATAAAACGTAACGCCCCATGTTTTCAAGAAGCATCGTCGCCAACGGTTCGCTCGACGCGCTCGGAAAAGCACGGCCTCAGAACGCAAGGGGCCCAAGATGACCCACGCGAAGAAGCTGGGCGTTCTCTTCCACGACCTGAAGATGCGTTCCATAACCCAAAAATATGGCGAACACGCCCCTGCGACGTCGGCGGACCCATCAATGTCGATTCGACGCCACTCCAATGTCGGGGCCAGGGCAATGGCGGTCTGACCCGGAACGACCCGGGAGTTCGACGATGACCGGTATTGCAAGGGCGGCGCATACAAGTACCTCGAAATCACCGCTACTCTGTCCAATATCTCCCCACAATTCAGCCACGTAAGACATGTTTGAACTTAACTTCGCCGAGGGTTGTAGGCAGGTACTCAACGCGGTCGACGTCCGTCGGACGCTCGGCGGCTCTGCCAGGGGGTTCCTGCGAGCCCCATGGATTCGGCGACTCATCGAAGGCGAGAAGGGCCGCGGGATCGAGCAGGTGATGGCGCAGTCGCAGCTCACTCAAGGTAAGCTGTCGGCGCAACGCGAGGAGGAGTGGCAGATATCGACTGAGGAACCTTCCAAGAATTGTGGACAAGATGCGCACACTTACACGCCATCGATCTCTGAAGCAGATCTCGCCGGCATCGAGCAACTCTGCGCCGTCATATTTAGCTGATCACGAAAAGGAGAAGTCGAAGCAGATCTTGAGTCTGCACGAGGCAGATGAGCCACCTGTTCCTGTCGACGCGGGCAAGTGGGCGCGCCGACCAGAAGTCACGGGCACCCAGCTGCGGAGAGCGATCCTGAATGTCATTCGGCGCACAGGACGTGGGCAGGTTCGCATTCTACCTCGGCACGTTTGGACTGTCTGCGATGGCGACCTACAGGCGGTGGCGGAGCTCCTCATGAAATGCGGGGAAAGATTGACATGGCCGCAGAATGAATTGTTCACGGGGCAATGCATGTTGCCGAGGCCAGGCAGCGGCACCTGACTCATCGCGCTGCTCAACAAAACTTTGAAAAGACGGGGCCGAACTCGACGGCCTCTCAGCGCGTCGCGGGAGAAAGGTCAACACCAACCATATTTATGGGGTAGCGGGGCTGGGAAGTTCCCATCACCTTGCCAATTCGACTTGAATGCGCCAGCAGACTCGGCACCCGCCAGGGAGCATCATGCGATCAAAATTGTCATTGCCATGTAAGACGCCATTAAACAAAAGCATGAATCATGCTTCTACGTGAAGCACGCGAGCTAGGATGTCCTCCTAGACTGATGCGGATGAGATTGCAGACACAACGAGTTCCTCGGGTTAAGATGTTCGCATGGAGGTATCAGCTCTCTACATGTATCTCTCCAAAGAATTTTTGCAGGATGTACACATTATACGACGGCGTTGATGGTCGTGCTGCATCGCACGGTAAGGAGCCAGCACAACAGGTATGATGATATCACGGCGCGCGTGGTCATAGTTGATTCAAGACGCAGTAACACGGACCCGACTCTCGCGAAGCACAGGTGCTTAACGCGCGCGCAACATCGGGGCAGACGTCAAGGAGCTGACCTTGATCCCCCAGCATTCGAAAACGGGGTTCGTCGCTACGTCGACTGTGGCAAAGCCCTGTTTCTAGTCGGGAGTCAGATGCGCAAAACTAAATGCCAAGCAGCACATCCGAAATATAGGGCACGAGCTGCATGGGGCGACGGCGCGTCGCGCACAGGAGCGCGCGAGACCTGCGAAGCAAGGCGCGCGCCGGCAAGATAAAGCGACTTCGTGGAGCGGTGCACGAGCGCGCAGGCGCGTTGTGGAGGACGGGGCTGACCCCCGCGTCGGGCACGGCACGGGCGCCAGTAGCACGTTTAGACTCTGCTCAACATGCTGCGCCCACTCG